CCCTTCCTGGCCATCCCCAGGTCTTCCGCCTCGTTGTTGGGGAAAGCGTGTGCCCTCCCCCCGTGCATGGGGCGATACCCTTGGCTAAGGAGGGACATTAGGGTGAGTGCCCCCCCCCTCACCCCGCCAGGCCTACCCACCCATTGCGGGAGAGGCCTGCCATGTGGCCCATATCCTAGGGATGACACTGGGCATCTGCAGTGCTGCTTCCTCTGGCCCCACAATAGCTGGGAGTGATATGCTCTATAGCCATCCCCAGCCGCAGCCAGGGGCAATGGCCTTGGCGCTAAGGTGACAACGTCATCACTGACCCCCCCCAACCTCACGCCTTGCTGCACAATTGCCTGCTCCTGGGTCGCCCAGGTGGCACCCCTCAGGAAGCTGTAGGGGAGATGTCTTATGGCAAGGGGGTCTGGCAGTGTGTTACATCTCTGGCCCTGAAAGACTTGCTGCCCAGGCACAGGAATGCAGCTTGTGTCAATATAGCAGCAGTAGCACCCACTGGGTGTTGGGCAGGCACCGTGTGGTGCTGGCCTTGCCCAGGGCCGCAGGTGAGCCTGGGCGCACTAAGACTGGCACTTGCCCTTTTGGCTTAGGCAAGATATGGTGCTTTTATATGGGGTGAAGTGGATTTGAATTCAGTAACAAAAACGGTGGTTACTCAACAGCTCCCAGGTGGAGCCACTGCTGTTTACCTAAAGCAGAGAAGAAGAATGAGGAGTACCCTGAATTTTTAAATAGCAGAGGGTTGACCAGCTCTTTGCCTGCTGCTGCTGTACCAGGAATATAAGCACGAAGCCCCTCCTCCCCCCCAACCAAAACTGGAGCATTAGCCTGACACAGCATATACACATGGTGCTTGCTCTCACGTGCAAGACCAAGGCTGGGCAAACAATGGTTGGTGGACTGGATGCAGCCCGTCAAGCCACTGGATCTGGCCTGCAAGAGCCTCAGCCGGATCTCAGCCTGCCCTACCCCGACCCGTCCCCGCTCGGCCCTCAGGAAAGCCGGCTTCAGGGCCACGTGCGCATCCCTGAAGTCTGAAAGCCTAGGGGAGAGGGCAGGAGGCTTCTCACTCTGTCGCCATCCTCAGTAGCTCCCATTGGCCAGTTTCAGGCCAATAGCACCTGCCTGTTTTCAGGACCGGCAGCATGTGAAGGTTCCTTCTCCCTCATCCTCCGGCCTCACAGCATTAAGTTCACAGCAGCAAACATGCTCCCCTCCCCCAGCTGCTCTGAGCATGTACAGGAGCATGGAAGGCAGGGACCCTGGCAGAGGAGCCTCTGGGCTGGTGGCCAGGAGCCACCCAGGTAAGGTCTCCCAGCCAGAGCCTGCCTCTGGCACTCCAACCCCTCCCTTCCCCCCAAATCTCTGCCCCACTCCTGCACCCCTACCACATATAACCCAAATCTTCTACACTCCTGCTCCACCCCCATAAACCTTCTCAGACACTGTGATGTCTTCCCTGTGATCTCTTTTACACAGGTCATAAATGCACAACTAGGCATAGCAAAGTGCCCTGCTTGTGCAAACATAGGTATCTTAGCAAATAAATAGTGGGAGACAGATTGCTGTTTCATAAGATGCTATTTATGTTTTTGTGCGGTATAGAAATGAAAGCCCATTACATTATAGTGTAATGCAGGTTGGTTGTTTCTTTTAAAAAAAAAATAAGTGCAAGTGTTTGTTTCGGGACTCGAAAAGTCAGTTAATGATAGGCTGAGGTTTATTAATTATAATTATTCTTATTAATAACTAGGGGCCTGTACCCCTGCTTGCTATGCTCGCCAACTCCCCACTTTTGCTTTGCTGAGAGAGCCTGTTGACACTAATGACATTATTGTGTTGCCCGGCCGGCTGAACTTTTAAAAATATATATAGAGAGAAAACAAATTAACCCTGCCCCTCAAAAAAGCCCCCCCAACTCCCTACATTTATCAATTAAAAGAAAATAATCAACTTAAAACAACAAAACAAAAAAAACACACACCAAAAAATCCATCCAAAAACCAACCTGGCCCCTGCAGCAAAGCCTGCCCCCTACAGCACCCCCCCCACCCACTGTGCCCCGACAACCTCTCCCTGTGTCCAGCCTGTACAGACCCCTCCCCCCCACGACACCCTGCCAGGCCCGCCCCAGCCCATCCACTACCCCCCCCCACCTGCTGCACCCTGCCAGCCCCTCTCTGGGCCTGCCTCAGCCCATGCAGCACCCCCTGCCTGTTGAACCATCTTTTCCTCCCACACCCACCTCAGTCCCTGCAGAACACCTGGCCTGCTGCACCCTGACAACTTCTCTCTGTGCCCAGCCCATTCAGCCCCTGACGAGCCCCCTGCTCTCTGCCCCTCCCCATGCTCAGCCCCTGCAGTGCCCCCGAATTGCTCCAACCCCGGTTCCTTCCTGTGCCTGGGCCCTACAGTGGCCCCCACTTGCTGCACCTGGCCAGCCCCACCCCATGCCTGCTCAGTCTCTGCTACACTTCCCACCCCTCCACTGCACCCACCCTGCCAGTGCCTGGCCCTGGTCCCACCCCCACTACATGCCCTCAGTCCTTAGCCCCTCCCCATACTCTCTGCAGCAGCCCCCACTTGCCTCTCTCTGGGCATGAAGGCGGGGAGCTTTGCACAGTGCTCCAGTGGCCAGGTTATTTCTGGATGGATGTCTGTTATTTTTCACTTCGCTTCACTTGTGTCCTTCCTCCCCTGTAGAGCACGTTTTGGACAAACTGGGACCGCCTTTGCCTGGGAACCAGATCTGTCCCAGCCCACAGCGGGGAGGGAATGTGCCAAGCTAATCCCTTTTCCCCAGAGCAGAAAAACTGAGCCAGGCTGATGCTGCAGGCTACAGGAAGCGCATGTGGCACAGACCTGGCAGCGTGCCTATGAGGGGGCAGCACGCAAGCCCTGCAGGGCTGCCTGTCCCATGCTGTTACGATAACCAGCTAGACCTAGACATGCTGGGATCTACGTGTTCTCTAGCTGCCCCTGCTAGCACCTTCCCTCTGACAGTTCCCATGGCCCCTGCCAGGCCTGGCCAACAGGGCAGGGGATGGTCCAGTGCATGTTCCCCTTCTCCGCAAGGCCGGGATGCAGCGCTGCGAGCAGGGCCCCGCTAGGAGCCTGGGGCAGGGGAGAGGGAACAGGGAGCCGGGGCCACAGCAGGAAGGGGACAGGGTTTTGTGGACAGAAGTGCAGATAAGGCACCCCCCGAGGGCAAGGCCTTCCCGAGGGAACTGAAGGGGCCCTGAGGCTCAGCTAGGGCAAACCCGCACAGAGCTGTGCCCCCACAGCATTCGCTAGGTGCAGTGGGGAAGGGAGATTTGCACACCGCTGCAGGGGCCAGATGTTTTCCGCCATCTCAGATGAGAAGGAACCAGGCTGTGGCACCACCATAGGAAGTGCTGGAAAGGTGGTGCTACAGCTGCTGCAGGGGACCAGGCCCTTGTGCTGCTCACCCCCACCCCAAAAGCTGCAATGCGGGGTCCTACTAGGGCAGCCAGGAAGTGCCGCTACCGCCACGCCCACCCACTCTGCTGCAGGGAGAGGTGTGCACCCTGAGCTGAAAGGGCGCAGGGTTGTTGAGAAGGCAGGAACTGGAGGGGAGAGTGGGGGGATTCAGGGAGAATGAACGGGAGCTGCAGGAAAACTGGTAAAGGAAAGAGGGGACAGAGAAAGCAGTCTGTGATTAAAGGTGAAAGGTCCTATAAAGAGTCCTGGAGCCTCCTGCACAGGGCTTCTCTCTTTGCTGTAGGTTAGGTCATTTCCTTCTTCTTCCACTTGACTCTCAGTTAAACAGGCCCCCTTCTCTTGTCCCATGCTTCCTCACTTTGCTGAGAGCGCTTGTTGTCACTGGTGACGTGATGTCACTCTTCAATGGTCCAAGAGGAACATTTTTTTAAATATATCTAGATTATTGTAAGTACATGCCACTATAAGGAGAAGCATTAAATCAGTAGCAAATAAGGGTGAACGGAAGGGTGGGGTAGATAAGATTTATGCCTGCAACTTAGCAGTCCAATGCTTCCTAAGGAAAGGTGCAGTAGAGCAAGGAATTGAACCCAGAGCCACTAAGGAACCCAGAAATAACTAATTTGAACATGTAAGGGGCCAAATACTATTTGCCCACAATAGGGTGGGACACATAATTTCCACAGGGCAAGGTCTGCAGAGTTTACTTGGATGTGTGCTGAGAATAAGGTTATCTGTTTGCATCAATTTTCCTGGATTCATATTTTCTTGATATGTGCTGAAGGAGCACAGCTCTCTGCCCCTGGCTTACATCACACAGGTATTCATATCCTTTGATTTCAGTGAGGGGCCAGGCCCCCTTGAATCTCAGCTTCTGTCTTTCAAAGTAGGGGTGCTGCTTACCTAACTCGCAGAGGTATTGTGACATCTGATTCATGCACAGTGCCTACTTTGAAAATATCAAGCATCACGTAAGGGCCCTGAATGATTATCCAAAAATAAACCCAGATGATTCTACACCTACTTCTAGACTGGGGTTGTTTCAGAAGAGAAACATGAATATTAAAAATATCCAGCTTGTTTATAGCGTCATTGAACCACCCCGCTCAGTCTTAAAGAGATTAAAATCCCCGAAGCAGCAGCTTCTGATTGCTTCGGTGCCTCAGATGGATGCCTCAGAACTCCTACGAAACATCATCCTTTTCTTAGATCTGAGAGCATGGAAATGCTCCCACAGCACTGATGTAGGTGCAAGGAGTATGACACACCACATTCATCATAGAAACACTTTGTAACCATAAAAAAGGAAATGAAGAGGAAGATTCCTACTTGTCTGAAGCTACAGCCAAAAATAGTTGATGTAAAATGCAGCTAAAGGGCTTGGGAAGAGGTCCACTAGATGTCCACACCACCAAAAAAAGTCCCCCAGACACACATTGATATTTATATTACAGTAGCATCTGGAGCAGTGATCCCCAAACATAATCATCTCACACCCCTGTTACTCCTGCCTATGCCTCCTTGGAGCCTGGACCAAAAGATCTAGGTGGGAGATATAGATAGGGGAAAGGGTGCTGGGACCATACCTGGGAACAGGGGTGGAAATGGAGTCTTAGGCAGGGACTGAGGCCAGCAGCTGATGCCCAGGACCAGCAGCCATGACTAGAAGCAAAGCCCCAGAAGCAGGGCCAACAACCAGGACCCTGGGCACAGAACCACCAGCCATGGCTGGGAGCAGGGCTTTGGGAGCAGGGTTGAGTCCAGGAGTGGAACGAGGAGATGCCTCCTTCCCCCAAAAATGTTCTTCTGTGCCCCTTCTGAGCAAGCATCAGGCTCTAACATGCTAAGTCAGGCCCCACCTAGAATGAGATCATCTCTACCCTGACAGGCTCATAGTCTAAACAGACACACAAAGGGGTGATCTGACTTGACCAAATTCAGCCAGTGGCCTAATATATGATCTCAGAAAAGAACCCTCAACTCTTGCCTTCCAGTGCGTTTTCCATAGATAAGCCAGTGGCTACCCCTGCCTTGCTTACAAGGCCCAGATAAATACCATAAACTCTTTAGCTGGTCCATGCAAAGAGGGAGGCTTAAGGGCTGGTGTTACGCTCTGTAATTACCTCTCATTTTTATTTCTGATGTTTTAGGACCAAGAATTGGAAAGCCTGGCAGCTATAGAAGCCGAACTAGAGAAAGTCGCCCACAAGCTCCATGAATTGAGGCGGGGCTGAAGTTTCCCCTACGTATGAGTAACATGAGCAAAAGCCAGAAATGAAGTCCTCTTTTGACACTGCATTTAAGTTACCAATTCAAAAAGTAAACAAAAAAATAAAGACGGAGTAGAAGCATTTTGTTGAGGAAGCCAAAATTGCTAGGAAATGACAGGCTTGCCCTCTTTGCAGTAGCGTTAAACTCATCATTGGCTTCTTCCTTGATTTTGTGCTCCCGTAGCTGCTTTGGTTCTCTCTTGTACCCTTTGGATAATTGTATCCCAAGCAGTGTGACTTACTCATGTATTTTCTGTTTGTTTGGGGTTTTCTTTTTTAAAGACAGCTTTCTAGAATGTCTTACTTCTACTGTTAGAGTCACTGGATAAAACTGCAATAACTTCTCTTTTGATTAAAAGCTGAGAACTCTGTAATATATTCTATATAAAAATTTATCTAAGGAAAAATAAAACTGATGGGTTCCTTCCTTTGCCTTTTGAGCTCTAGCCTCAATCTTCAGCCCTGAATACAGCATGAGTTTCTCATTATATGATCCCAAGTAGAGCAAGTGTTGACATCTCCACTATTACCATGAAATGCATTCAGTGTAGCCTACTGTTTTTGCATAGGCTGCCATCACCATAGAAGTACAGAACGCATGACCAACACAGGATAATTCAGCCCCACCACTCGCAAGAGGCACAGTATTCAGGAAGTACAAACCCCAAAGAAAATGGAAAAAAGGCCACTCATGATCATAAGAGCACAGGACCTAATCCAATCCATCAGCTTCAGTGAGTGGTAGTGTTGTAGGTCTACAGATCCTGGACCTTGCTCTAAGTTAAGCAGTGGGACTATAGTTTAGAAGTTTAAGGAATGGATCAGCCTAAAAGTAAAAAAAGAGTCTGAAGAGCATGTGAGACTCCTGTACGTGGGTTTCAAAAACCTAATAAATATGATGATGTATTTTTTGTATTTGAAGAGAAACTATTGAAAGTCTTCCATTAAAGACAGAAGGCACAGCCTTAAAGAGCTATTTCTGAGTCACTGATCTCCAGGAAGTTGAACAACTTAATTATAATTAAGAGCAGACTTTAGGCTAAGAAGTTCAGAGAATTCTCTTTGTTCACTGAGTCACTGATCTCCAGGAAGTTGGACAACTTAATTATAATTAAGAGCAGACTTTAGGCTAAGAAGTTCAGAGAATTCTCTTTCATTGCATGGGCCAAATTCTAGTCTTACAATACACAAGGATTATGCCAGACATTTCAGGTGTAAATGAGGACATACTTCTGTCCTCTGAAGGTCTTGCTATGCTACAGCCACGGCTGGGGGGAGTCTTGTCCTCTGAAGGTCTTGCTATGCTACAGCCACGGCTGGGGGGAGTTCAAACAAAGCTATTGACAGGATGATATATTATGCCAGCATTTATACCACAGCCACAGAAGATTTTACAAAATAAACTTTTACCTGACCATCACAAAGACAACTTCTCAGACATGACTTAAGGTACCAAAGTTTTGCTGGGTCTGCAGTATGGCAGTCAAACTACATCTCTAAACTGTTGCATTCATCTCAATGGGTGTTAACCCTGAAACTTAATGATGGCATTAAAATACCAGTTACCATTATATCATAAATGCTTAGACAGATATGGCAACAAGATTACATGTTTAACTGATAAACATTATAGCAAACACATGCAGCTAACATGGGATTGAGGACAGAACTTAGGGAAAGTGCTTTCTTTTTTTAAACATTCTCCCATTCAGCCATCTGACATCAATCCCATATTACAATAGCTAGAAGAGTAAGGCTGCAACAACATCCCAAATCTGTGTCAGATGTTTCTTTGCCTGTGTTCCACAACCATCTTGCATATGCTTTAGACTGATAGGGATGCTGTCAGGTCACAGAATAAATGAACTGTATTTTACCCAAATTAAGATATAGTTGTCCTGTAACCCTTATTTAGTTGTTCCTAGTATAGAGAAAGATATTTTCCTACTGCCTGAATTTCAGAGTAATTATTTTTAAAAGATACCACTGGTACAATAAGTATTTTTTGTGATATGCCATCTGCAACTTTCTAACAATAAAATCTCTTAGTCTACTTCTGCACTGCAGCAGTTTTTTGGAAGAGGAAATTCAGATAGAGCACTCATTTGCAAATCTCGCACTCTCTTTCACATATTCTCTTCCAGTCCTTTTTGAAGAAGAGGTTTTTGTAATAAAAAGCCCTGTGTAGATGGGACCATTTGTCAGAAAACCCCCATTTTGTGCAAGATCCTGTAAACCTCATTTTTTGAGGAATAACGGATCTTGTACAAAATGGGGGTTTTCCAGCAAATGGCTCCATCTACACAGGGCTTTTTAATCACAAAAACCTCTTCTGCAAAAAGGATCAGAAGAGAATATGCAAATGAGAGCATGGGATTTGCAAATGAGTGCTTCATTTGCATTTCCTCTTCCAAAAAATTGCTGCAGTGTAGAAGTAGCCTTAGTCTACTAATTTTAGTCTTTTTTTTTGTAATATATATGCATGTTTAGCCCACCATTTGAACTGCATTGCAGTTAGGCCCACTGGTTAGATTCCAGACTTTGTTTAGGTAAAAAGAGCATCATTGATATGATTTATGTTGAAGCAGTGCCCAGAGTCCATCCAAGATGCCCACGGGCACCACGTTGGGGACCACTGGAATATACCTATAATAATTTCTGAAGAATTCCCTTCCTATTACGCCCTCCCACCCAGCCCTCCACCCTGTCCCTTTTCAGGGATCCATCTCACGAATCCCTACTGCAGGAGGAAGAGAGCCACCTCCTCGAGCTGGGGGCCGTGGAACCCGTCCCTCACGAACATCAGGGCAGGGTACGCCCTCGATTCATGGTACGCCGCCCTCGATCTAAAGGACGCCTATTTTCACATCTCAATTGCCCCCTCCCACCGCAGGTTTCTGCATTTTACGGTGAGCCGGGACCACTACCAATTTATGGCCCTCCCCTTTGGTATCTATACAGCCCCTCGGGTCTTCACCAAATGCATGGTGGTAAGTGGCTGCAGAACTCAGGAGAAGGGGTGTCCAAGTGTTCCCTTACTTGGATGACTGGCTCCTCCGAGGGGGGGTCGGACGCCCAGGTGAGGAATCAGATCACCATGATCCGAGACCGTTTTCTAGAACTAGGTCTACTGTTAAACCTGGACAAGTCCACCCTAGTCCCCACTCAAACCATAGAGTCCGTGGGTGCCACTCTGGACTCTCGGTCCCAGAGAGCCTCCCTACCCTTCACGCTGAAGGCGGAGGTTGTGTCGCTTCAGAGCTTCCCGATGACTACCGCTCAGACTTGCATGCGTCTGCTAGGCCTCATGGCCGCTTGCACTTATGTAGTGAAACATGCCAGACTATGCATGCATCCTCTGCAAATGTGGCTTGCATGGGTGCACAGGCCGACCGCCCACTCCTGGGACAGGGTTTTGACCGTCCCTACGTGTGTCCTCCTTGCGCTACAGTGGTGGACTCACCAAGAGGAGGTCTGTTCAGGAGTCCTGTTCTCCAGACCAGCCCCATCACTCTGGCTCGTAATGGACGCATCGGATACGGGCTAGGGAGCTCTCCTCAGGGAACTGCACACTCAAGGTACGTGGTCCCCGCACGATGCCTCCCTACGTATCAATGTCAGGGAGCTCAGGGCAGCCCAGTTGATGTGTGCGGTTTTCCTTCCCCACTTGAGGGGCAAGTCAGTCCTCATTCTGTCGGACAACACGACAACCGTAGCATATATAAACAAACAGGGTGGGACCTGCTCCCCCCACCAGTGCTCTGAGGCACTCCACCTCTGGGAGCTCTGCATCAGGGCGGATTTCCACCCGATAGCCTTGTACCTCCCGGGCTCCCAGAACGTCCTGGTGGACAGGTTGAGCAGGTCGTTCGCGAGTCACAAGCGGTCTCTGCATTGGGACATTGTCCAATCCATTTTCCACGCTTGGGGGGTTTCCCCACCTGGACCTGTTTGCCACAGCCCAGAATGCCAAGTGTCCCTGCTATTGCTCCTTCCTGGGACTGGGACAGGGACAGGGATCCCTAGGGGATGCTCTTCTCCTCCATTGGCCTCAGGGCCTGCTCCACGCCTTCCCATCATTTCCTCTAGTCAACAGGGTTTTGCTGAAGGTAAGGGAATTCAGGTCCATACTAATCCTAATCACCCCAGCATGGCTGTGACAGCATTGGTACTCGACGGTCCTCAACCTCTCGTGCAAGAGGCTTATAGCCCTCCCTTTAGTCCCGGACCTCATATCACAGGACTTGGGCAGGCTGCACCACCCGGACCTGCGGTCCCTCCACCCGACAGTGTGGAAGCTCTGTGGCTAATGGCTCAGGAGATCCAGTGCTCCCCAAAGGTCCAGGAGGAAACTGTCCACTAGTTCCACTTACCCTGCTAAATGGAAACGCTTCGGTTCCTGGGCATCCCAACAGGGGGTACACCCAATATGGGTACCGGTCCCAGGATTCTAGACTACTTATTAGATCTTAGGCTCCAACACCTGTCCTCTTCATCCATTAAGGTCCACCTGGAAGCCATATTGGCCTTTCACCCAGAGGAAGGGGGCAAAACGCCATTTGCCAACCTGATGGTTAATAGGTTTTTGAAGGCCTGGATAGACTCTACCTACATGTACGGCTCCCTGTCCCGCAGTGAGATCTAAACCCGGTCCTCTCTATGCTTATGGGACCCCCATTTGAGCCGATGGCTATGTGTTCGCTCCTCCACCTATTATATAAGATTTCTCTCCTGGTAGCAATTACATCCACGAGGCGGGTATCCGAGCTTAGGGCACTCATGTGTGATCCCCCTTACACGGTATTTTTTAACGACAAAGTCAGATTCCGTCCCCATGCGGCCTTTCTGCCAAAGGTGGTTTCCTCTTTTCACACTTCCAAAGATATTTTCCTCCCAGTTTTCTTCCCTAAACCGCACACATCTGGGAAAGAACAGGTCCTGCACACGTTAGATGTTCGGAGGGCGTTAGCCTTTTATTTAGACAGAACTAAACCCTTCCATAAGTCACAGTAGCTCTTTGTAGCCATTGTGGAGCATATGAGGGGTCAGCCGTATCCACTCAGAGGATTGCTTCATGGATAACCGCTTGCATTAGGGAGTGCTATTCTTTAGTAGGCACACCAGGCCCACCCCTCAGGGTGCACTCCACGAGGGCGATGGCGACATCCACCGCTTTCGCCACGCAGGTCCCTATTTCGGACATCTGCAGGGCTGCCACGTGGTCTTCGGTCCACACGATTGCTAACCATTATGCCCTTCCACAGGAGGCCAGGGGGGATGCCGCCCTAGGTAGGGCGGTCCTTATCTCAGGGGCAATTTCTTTCTCCGGCCCCCCACCTAGTTAGGTTCTGCTTTGGAATCACCTATATTGGAATGCACATGAGCAATCACTTGAAGAAGAAAGAACGGTTACTTACCTCGTAACTGTGATTCTTCGAG